GAGTAAGATGTCCCGGGCCAGGGAGCTGAAGGCCTGACGGGAGCGGGGCGGTCAGGTCGGCCCGCCGGGCGCCATCTCCCTCCCGGGGCCGGGGGCCGGGGTCGGGGTACCTCACCTCGTCCACATTCATGCTGGATTTGGCGCTCGTCTCAAAAAATCGGATTCCGTGCTCCCGGGCCAGCTGTCGGGGGAGCGGGAAGAAGGTTGGGAAAAGGGCGGGTGCCCCGAGCGCTCCGCCGGGCCCGCCCCGGAGCCTCGCCCGCCGACCCCGACCCTGACCTTGTCCGCCTGCTCCCCAGGCACCTTCCTCTTGGCCTCCATGTCGCTCTTGTTTCCCAGCAGCAGGCGCTCCACCCCGGCCGAGGCATTCTGGGAGCAAGGAGGCCGCCGCTCAGGCCTCAGGCCGGGCCCGCGCCTCTTCCCGCCCCGCCGTCCTCCCGGGCCTCCCCTCACCTCCTTGATGCTCTTCATCCAGTTCTGGATGTTCTCGAAGGATTTCTCATCCGTGATGTCATACACCAGGATGATGCCCTGGGGGACGGCAGAGCTGGCAATGGAGCCTGGGGCCACACTCCTGTCTAGGTCTCCCACTGTCCCCCAAGTGACCCTGCAAGTTTTATCCACGAGTCAAACGGCCAGGCCTTGCGGGGCCCCCTGCGGCCCACGCGGGCACCCCCACTTCCCCTGCCCGAGCCCCTGCCTCTCTGTACGCAGAGCCCCCGTGTCGCCTCGGCCCTCGGCCCTCCCGCGCCCGCAGGCGCGCTTCTCACCATGGCTCCCCGGTAGTAGGCAGTAGTTATCGTCTTGAATCGCTCTTGGCCAGCTGTGTCCCTGAGGAGGTGGAACGTTTCATGGGGTGGGACACAGGGAAGGGCTCCCCAAAGCGAGAACTGCCCCGGCCCCCGCCAGCTAAGAATTCAGCTTTGCAACGCGATGGGGCTGAAAGGCACAGAGTCGGGACACAGTGGAGGAGGATGACAGACAGACAGACAGGCTGATCCCGGCCGGCGACAGAGGCCGAAGCCACGAGACCTCCCGGCTCATTCTCTGGGCGCCCGCTCCGCGCCAAGCACTGCGTACGTGTCATTTTACATGTGTGTGTGTCATGGCGTCGCATCCTCACCCCATGCCTGGGAGACATGTTTTATCGTCCCTATTTTACAAATGGGGAAACAGATTTGGGGAGGCGAAATGACTAACGAAGGTCATGCCGTGACAGAACCAGAATCGAACCAGTCTGTTCGTGTCCGTGGGACCCTCATGCCACCACGAAGCCTGGTTCCCCGTAAACACCTTCGGCTTCCCCGCGACAGCCACGTCAAACCTCCGCACTCGGCTTTCTGGGCTCCCCATGGTTTAGAGAGAGCATCAGACTTAGAACCAAGTCTCAAGCCGGCTACTCGCTGTTTAGCTGTTCGGAGCCTGTTTCCACATCGGAGCTGAACACGCGTTTGCCGTCCGGCTCAGAGGGAGCTCCGGGGCCGGGAGAGGCGAGAGTGACCGAAGAAGCTGAAAACAGTCGAGCGAACAGGAAGGGAGATGGAAGGACATCTGAGTGAAGTGACGGAAATGATTCCAAGTGCCGGGGAAAAAGCCACGGGGAAAAGGAGAGAGATGAAGCCAAACAGGGGGAAGGGGCCGTGGGGGGCAGACGAGGAGTCCGGCGGGGAGCCCCGGGGGCCACTCACCAGACCTGCAGCTTGATCTTCTTCCCCTCTATGTCCACAGTGCGGATCTTGAAATCGATGCCTGGGGGCGGAGAGTGTGCGCTGAAGCTGAGGCGCGAAGGCGTGTGTGAAGGCGTGTGCGAAGGCGTGTGCGTGCACGAGTGTGAGGTGGGACACGGGAAAGGAGCGGCAACATCGCCGGAGGTGTGAAGCTAGAGGGATGTTCTCGAGACCGTATTTGTAGAGCAGGCGTATTGTTTTTACTCAGATCTTACGGGTTTTGCGGGGGAGAAGGCGATGACGATGCTGCGGGAGGCTTACGGCCCCGAAGGCGCCCCTTGGGTCCGAGCAGCCTTGCCAACTCAGCCTATCTCCTCCAAAACATTACTTTCAGATTCCTTTTCCCTTCTGTTTTCCCAGAACCCTCCTCTCTGGGCACCCACCCATCCGCCTGGCCCTATAGGGTCAAGCGTGAGGAGAAAGGTAGCTGAGGCCAGTCCACGTGGATTCACTGGTCGTAGGCCAGCCTTGGAACCAAGAAAGGCCGAGGAGAAGGAAGATCCTCCTGAGACTGAACTAGGAACGAGGGGCATTTTCCCTTCCCCTTTCTAACCAGAATTGTCTTGAGACTCTCCTTGTCTTATTTTCCAGACCAGAGGAGATGAAGAAAGATGAGGGGGGAGGGGGGGCGCTGCTCTTCGTGGAAACTTGGACACCTCCTCCAGCCTGCTGGGAGGCCTAGGGAGGAGGCTGAGTCACCAGGCTGACTCAGAGACCCCAAAAGTCCCCTCGTTCCCACCTTCTTCACCAGGCTGCCTTCCCATTCATGACTGCAGTCCTTGGGCCACCCTCGAGCAAACCTGGCCACTCTGTCCCACCCTCCCCTGGGCCCTGTTAAGTGGAGGGGCAGGGAGACTGAGAAGTGTGAAAATGTGGGGATGCAGCGGGAAACTGAAACTGTGGGAAGGGGGGAGGTGAGCCGGGAGGCGGATGATACGGGAGACGGAATACAGGAAATGCGGAATGGGCCCTGGGTTCCCGGTGAACGGGTTTGGGGGACGGTGGATCTGGGAGATGAGGAGGAAGGAGGGTACCGAGGAAACCAAGGGCTGGCAGACGGAGGACTCACCTGGAGGCTGCGGAGAGGTTAGGGGTTTGGGTACCAACCAGACACGTGTGGGGGATGGGTCTGAGACAGGGGCTGAGGGGCTGGAGTTTCTTGGGAGCCTCGCTCTAGGGGGGCGGAAAGGTGGGGCCACTAGGGCTCCGGTGCCTGGGCTGAGGGTGTCGGGGAGTCGGGGGTCTGGGCTATGGCCAGTGGGCTCACCGATGGTGGAGATGTAAGTGTTGTTGAAGTTGTCCTCTGCAAAGCGAATGATCAGACAAGTCTTGCCCACCCCCGAGTCCCCGATCAGCAGCAACTTGAAGAGGTGGTCGTAGGCTTTGGCCATGGCGGACACTGGGGGAGCCGGGGGAGGGGCGGGGAAGCGCCGGGCACCGGCGGGCGGGATTGGAGGGCTGGCAAGCAGAGCCTCCGGGAGCCTAGGCCAGGAAGTTTTCCTCGCTCCCCGCCCAGGCTCCGGGAAGGAGAGGCGGCCCGCCGGGGCCCCC